CTCACAGAAGGGCTTGTACCATGACTTGTTTAACATGGCATCATAACTACGAGACTGACTCGGTTTCACAGTTGATTAACATCAACAACATTAATCGGTGTGGATCAAAGAGTGGTTTAGCCCAAGGCAATTCCAAAAAACTGTATGTGGTTTTCAGGCACAGTAGCTCCATTTTTTAATTGCTGCTAGTATGAACGTTTTGAAAATATTGTTGTAATGACCGATGAAGAGCAGTGGAAAGCTTTCTCGACCCAGTTGGAAATCTTATTAGCACATTTTTACCCTTTTCTGAAACTCAACCATAGGCTGAATTATTCAGTGCACTATCAGAGCGTTTTATCTTTTCGGTACATGCGAACTCATAAGCACAAACCAGAAATTTTTCTTAATATTTTCTGTTGTTGCCCTCAGGTGAGTCAGTATGTTCAGTTCAGTTCTTACAACCATTAACCATGTACTTTCGTGCGCCGGTTTTGGTTGTTGTNCAGTATAATGATGATTAGCATGTTCAGAGCAGATTCAAGCGGAAGACAGCACATTTTCATAGACTGAAGTTACAAGAATAATGAGTAGATGCATGAGCGCCACTGTTTGCGACATCCAGCCATATCGCTCAGTGTCTCTAACCATCGGTGATTATGATCTCGGAGTCCCCAGCCAGGGAGTCTAACGGGACCTATGTGAGCCATTCTCCTGGTCAAGGTTTTCATACCCTCATACCAGGTCTTAGTTTGACCACCCTTCATATTTTCCAAAAGCTACCCGCCTCGGCAAACACTGCTCGCCGCGGCAACCTATCTGGTGACATGCGCAGCACATGTCCCAACTAGCGTAATCTATGAAAGTTGACAACCGGCTCCAGTGGACGACCGCGATTACCTTAAACTCTACACAGAACCTCGGCATCGCTCGTCCGGTTTCCCCAACCACACTCGTGCAATGCTACATAGACAGCGGTGTTCAAACACCGACAATCTATTTTTATCCTGCTTCCGTAATGGCCAAGGCTCTGCGCCGTAAAGCAGAACTGGCTGAACTGCTGCAGCATATACTCGACCGTTCACACAATCGGATGTCGCGACGGCGCCACAGATGTCTCAAGTTGGCAAATGCCAACTGAGCCTTCTGTATGTGCGCCGACACTTCATATGTGATGCGTTCGCCGGAGGAAACATAGCTGCCCAGATAGCAAAACTTGTTTACTTTCTCAGCTACTTCCCTTGTCAGGGTGAAGTTGGGGACTGGGCCAACCCAATCTTGGAGCAGCACTTTGCACTTTGAAGGTGATACAGGAGCACTCAAACTATTCAGAAAAGCTTGCAACTTACCTGGATCTTCACTTCAATGTAGTCTGCATATTCTAGATCAGACAGTCTGCCACCCGGGAGAAGATTAATGCCGCTATCTTCGCACGAGGATAGGGCTGTTTGAAGAATTAAATCTATGATAAAGTTAAATAGAAACAGTGAGAGAGGGCAACCCTGTCGAACACCACTTTCTGTAAAGAACTCGAGTGAAAAAGGGCCGTAAGCCTGGACTCGGCTTCGGCTATTATTGTAGAGGAATTGTAATATTGAAATGAACTTCTCGGGTACTCCTTTCAGGGAAAGGCGGTGCATATAAAGCGACGGACAAATTCAAGGTCATCAATTGAACACAGGTATATAATACATTACGAAATCAAAAGATTGTATTGTATATCAAATTATTCAATCCAAAGCCTGAAATGAGATCTGCAGATAAACATTATGATCTGATTGCCATAATGATAGCCTATCAGCATGTGAACATACATTGCTTCT